TTACTTTGACTTAACAAGAATTCAGGAAAAGGAGTTCTTTACATAGACAGAATACCTGAAGTCTAGAAGGAAGGATGGGGAAAAGTAGATGAACTTTCATTAGGATTTTCCTCATTTTTCAGTTTCTTTCTTGCCTGAAGTGTCCAAAAAATGCATCCTGTTGCTGTGAATGGTGTCCTCAGAATCCCACTGTGAACTACCTTGAAACCGAAAATTTCTGTTCAGTGTTTTAGTAATTAATCACTATCAGATGAGGTCCAAAAATGCAGTCATAATTCTGTCAAATTATATCATCATTCCACTGTAACAGATGAAAACAAAGCTTGTAAATATATTCTTGTTCCAAATTTAAGCCTATGAAAATAAGGAAGGTATCTCCAATGCAGGCAGTAAACGTACAGATGTGCCAGTTTGGAGATTTTGAATGTCCCTTGGACTGACATACTGTGGGACCTGAGTGTCTCCCTCATGTCATAGTCTACCCGCCAGAGATGGAACGGAGGCATTATTAACAACAAGCCCATTGAAATGTGCCCCTAAGAGCACAGAGGAGTAGCACAGATTCCAGTCAACAGAGTAATTTCCAAAAGGCAAAAAAATTTTTTTTCTCTTCTTTTCAAACTGTTGGCTTGTTTGTGGTTACTGCCTAAGGACCTTTGGATCAAACTGTGTCCTATGATAGCAGCAGAGGGAATGACCTCTAGCTGTCAGCACGGAATAAGAATTATTCTTTTGTACCGTACCAGCAGCCCAGTAGGATCCTCATGCTGAAATCAAATCCCCATTTTACTTACTAGACTCATGTCGATCAATGTCTTTGCTGAAGGTAATAATGCCCGTTATTTATCGCATGCCTTAAAGACTTTGCATTGAAATTTCATCATCTCGAGGTAGAATTTTCAGAGATCTTTGGGTCAATCTCAGCCAACCTCCTCATTTTACAAATAAGGAAATAGAAACCAAGAAATTAAGTGATTTGCCGAGGGTCGTGGAGTTGCCGAGCTCTGGGGCAGGATCTGAACTCAGATCTTAAGCTCTGTGGGGGTAAGAAGGAATCTTCTCTTTTCGAAATTCTCCATTTCTCTCAGGGCTTTACACAGTTAAGCAACAAATGAATATATGTTGAATTGGATGAGGTTATATTATATTGGATTGGAACAAACTGAGTTGTTCTCCCCAATGAAGCGCCCAGTCATCTGTCTGACTGTGTTAGCTGCATCTTCAGCTTGGCATGCTGAATGATGTCAACAAATCCCTTTCTGAAAAAGACGCATTCCCTTGCTCCTAGCTCAGTGGGATTCAGAACCATGCTGTGTTTGTAACAATAGCTAACTCTTAGATAGGTTTTTGCTCTGTGAGGGCCATCTTCATTGTGTCCAGAACAAAGGGAAAAGCAAACCATTATTTATTATGCACTTTGTCGTTGCCTATGAAGTACAGGCAGAGGCGGTCTATACTTACTTTCTTCCATTTTCCTGCACTTCTGCAGGCTGCCCTGCCCTGAGGGCTGATCTATCAGCCTGGAATGGGCATTGCATCTGGTTTTTATTTCTCCTTAGTTTCTCCTGAGGCTTTGGCTGAAGCGAGTTCTCAGCTCCCCAAGAAGTCAAGCCAATATAATCAGCCATCGCTTATTCAGACATTTTTTAACGCTTACAAAGGAAAGCAGCAGATCAGCTCTACGAAGATGCGGTGACCGTCTGCTGCTATCAATAATTTATCTCTTCGATGGCTTTAAATATGATTGTGTTAGAAGGCAAAGGGAGGGGCTGGCTCATTTCTCATTTTTTATAGTACCCTAATCCCATGATAAATAGCTGGTGTTTGCGTTTTACTAGTTCAGACCTCCCTGGTCTCTGCTGTGCCTGGCAAAGACCACAGAGGGTGCCCACAGGAGTGGTGTTAATGGGAGAGCCCTGTAGAATGGGCCCAGAAAATTGAATAAGGCTGAATGTAGTCCCACTTAATTCTTCTGCTCTTATCTTAACTCATTTTTAGTAAGAAATATGATATGGGAATATCTTGGCTCAGAATTTCCTATTTGGTTTCCTTTTATAATAAAATGTTTTTTTTTTCTTTTTTGTTGGCCTGCCCAGAATCACAGCAGCTGTGGCTTCCGGGGGGTTGACAGTTCTGCCCCACGGATTTGACTTGGCATCCAACCTCATTGGTTTTTTTGTTTGTTTTGTTTTGTTTTTTACACTGAGACAAATACCTCACATTAGCAGAGTACTGTTCATAGAGCATTTCCCCCATGACATCTCATGTGAGCCTCACAGCAACTTTGTGAAGTATATAAAACAGGAATTATTCCCATTTTCCAGATGAGGAAAATGAGGACCAGGGAAGTTAAATGACTCATCCAGATATTCGTGATCCACAGACATGCCACGTCAATCCAAGAAAGGCTAGGACCCTATTGTATTGCATTGCTACATGTAAATATAAAAAATGAATGATTGTTAGGAAAAACAATTTTCTCATCCATTTTTTGTCCTCAGAGAAGTTGTTCTTGTTTGTACACAGTGCAAAAGGAGTTTCAAAACCCGGTACCTAACACCTTCTCGTTATCAGACATACTTTATTATGCAAAGATTATTAAAATGACGTTTGGCTGGCTGTGGAAATGAGGGTCATGCATGTTGTCAAGTATGCCAAGTATGGGGACAGATGGCTGAAAAATCCCTGTCTCCCTCACTCCAAGGGAGCTGAAACAGATCATTCAAATTAGATTTCTTGGCAAATTTTGTAATAACCACAAGCACCATGATTTGCTAAGTTAAATTATAGTGTAAGGTCAACATATAACAAATTAATTTTTCTTAGAAAAATCAAAGGAGTATTGAGAAACAGGCTGATTGCCTCTATTAAAAAATCCTTTTTATCCACACTATTACTTCTGATTAGAATCATTGGTAGAGGAGGGTCTGGTAACATAGGAGTAGTAGTAGTAGTAGTAGTGGTGGTGGTGGTGGTGGTGGTGGTAGTAGTGGTAGTAGTAGTAGTAGTGGTGGTGGTAGTAGTAGTAGTAGTAGTATTAGTAGTAGCAGTAGGAGTAGGACATTATACTACTAGTAGTTGTATAATAATAGATATAATAGTAATAATAATCATGTAATTCAGTTGTGTCTAACTCCTCATGACCCCATTTGGGGTTTTCTTGTCAAAGATAGTGGAGTGATTTGCCCTTTCCTTCTCCAGCTCATTTTTACAGATGAGGAAACTGAGGCAAACAGGGTGAAGTGACTTGCCCAGGATCACACAGATAGTAACTAAACTAGTGTCTGAGGCCGGATTTCAATTCAGGAATCGGTCTTCCTGACTCCAGGCCAGGAACTCTATGCACCATGGCACCACCTAGCTTCCCCAATAAAAATCTAGAATTTCTGTAACACTTTCTGGGGCAGAGAATGGACATTTGATTTCATTGGGATAGGGAGCCCTGGATGTGCAGGTCTATACCTTCTCTGAAAATTAAAGTCTTGAAGACTGTATGTATAGTTTTGGGGCACTGGAGATTAAGTGACTTGCCTGGGGTTATGTAACCAGAAGGGAACCCAGGACTTACTCGTCCAAAGATCACACTGTTCACAGTGTGGTAGCAATTTTAAAGCCTGCAAAGCACTATATATCCACTCTCCCATTTAAACCTCATATCTACTTTAGGAGGTATTATTATTCCCATTTTACAGAGAAGGAAACTGAGTCTCAGTGAGATGAAGTACCTTGTCTATGTTGTCATAGCTACTAATTGTGAGAGGCAGGATTCAAACACATCTTCCTTATTATACATCCAAAACCCTCCATGCTGAATTCAGTCAATAAACATTATTAAATGCATATTGTAAGGGCTGTAGATTCAGAGATGCCTCTGTTCTCATGGAGCTCATGGTCCAATGGAGGAAACAACATTCAAACAGCTGTGTGTGAATCTCTATCCGGGCTACATGCAGGATTATTTGGAAATGATTAGCAGAGGGAAGAGGCCAGTATCAAGGCAAATCATGAAAGGCTTCTTGTAGAAGGTGGGATTTTACCTGGGACTTGAAGAAAGCTGTGGGAGCAAGGAGGCAGAGATGCAAAAGGAAACCATCTCAGGAATGATGGATAGCCGAGGGAATTGCCTGGAGTTGGGAGATGGAGTATCTTGTTTGAGAAATAGCAAGGAGCTGGGTGCAATTGGAACCCAGACCATGTGTAGGGAGGTGGCATAAAGTGTGAGAAAACTAGAAATGAGGTGGGGCAGCAGAGGAAGGGCTTTGAACACCCTATAGTATTTCTAATTTGATCTCGCTGGTGAAAGGGAGCCATTGGAGTTTGATCACGGTTGTGCTTTAGGAAGATCACTTTGACAGCTGAGTGAAGGACGGACTAGGGGGGAGACTGGAGGCAGGGAGACCAGTCAGAGACTACTTAAGTATTCTAGGTAGGAGATGATAAGGGTCTTCCAAATTCTCAGTTTTGTATGAGTAGTGGTACTGAATTTTCCTTTTTGTTTTTCAGAATGTCAGTTAAGGGCTCATTGCTAAAGTTCTATTTCCTATCAGTGTCACTAAATTTATATTATTTCTCAAGAATGAAATAGAATAAAAACTGTGAATCCGTGAAGTTGTGCATTCAACTTGAATAGACTCAATATGGTTGACTGCAGGAACATTCTGGCATCAAAGTTAATCATCTTACACCGCTCCTAGACGCTCTAAAAGCAGATGTTGTGGTGTAGCGAGCAGTTTCAAATACATTCAGCTGAAAACTGTCACCATCAGTCAACTTCATTTTGAAACGTTTAAGTATCTTTATAACTTATTTTACAATATCCATGCATTTACCAGTGTATAGAATATATTTCAGTTTACAAAGGTAGAGAATCGGTTCACCATTGTTTCTATAGTTTCTGCATATATGAGGGTAATGTCAAGAATATTGTCTTTTTTGTTTGTAAATGATGAGAAGAGATTCCAGCTTTTTTCAAACTTGTGTTTCTTGTTCTTCCATTGTAGGGTCGCTGTTCAAGAGAGAACTGCAAATATCTCCACCCACCCCCCCACTTAAAAACACAATTGGAAATAAATGGACGCAACAACCTGATTCAGCAGAAGAACATGGCCATGCTGGCCCAACAGATGCAACTTGCTAATGCCATGATCCCTGGCGCCCCGCTACAACCTGTGGTAAGCCGGCACTCGTGATATTCTCGTTGTCCAATCACGTCTTGGCATCCAATACCTTTTCAAACAGGCCATTGGAGGGGAATCTAAACTGAATCAGAATGGAGCGTGTGACGTTTTCAGCACTTGCTGGGAACCAGTGGCTCCAAGCTCTAGCATCGAACACTTCATAATATAACTCTCTTTCCTATAATTATTGCAAATGGCGTCCAAGCTCTTGCGTACTGAATTCTCCAGTTTCACTAATGCTCTTTGGGAGCTCCAAGTCATTAAGACCATCATAATCATGTGTTAAATACATTCTACAAACATCACTTTGAAATCATAGTGATCTCCCCAAGATTGTTCATAGTCTGTTCCCTGGGTTATTAGTCATGGTTCCTTCTACCTGGAATCGAATCAGACATGCATGTACAATTTGCAGAGGCTGAAGAATGGTTTCCCGTGATAGCCTGACAATTTTTAAAGCTAATATAGAAATAGCTACGCTGTTAGTAAAACTTTGGGATCACGGATCCAGTGTGCAAGTACGTGGGCAGTACCGTGCTACCATGGTTATTTTGCTGTTAGAAATCACAAATTAGGGCTGTCTTCGGAAGGGTCCCACTGAGGCTGCTGCATCTATTTCATGGCTGAAACCATCAGGTAAGTGAGGCAATTGAGGAATGTTCCAGAAACAGCTGTGTGTTCCACTCCTTTGACTTGCCCGCTCCTTTTCCTGGTCCTGTGAAGTGGAGAATTTTAAGGAGAGGTTTTCAGTGGTCAGGAGGAGGTGTCTTCAGGGGATAGTCAGATTCCCATGGAAATGAGGTAGTGAGACTATTGATTGAAAGGGAGTTTATTGGGAACAGAAGGAGAATAACAATTATCTGTACCTATAATAGAGGTGAGAAAATATGATTCAGAATACTTTCTTTTAACTGGCATTTATTTTATTTTAAAAGTTAACACCAGCTTAAACATTTATAATTTAAATTGACACAGATGCTAACCTACTCATTTCAAACTACTATGCTGGGGGCAGTTTACTAGCTTTAATTTCTTAAAGAAATCCATGAAGATACATTCCCTCCTGGTGCAGGATAAGATTTCTTTCTTTCACTTTTTGGACCTTGCCAGTAGCCTTGGGGCATCTGATAGGTACATTATAAGTAGCTACCAATTTGTGGAAAACATGATATCACCCTTAATGTTAGATAAGTTGCACGAATTAAATATTTAAAGCACACTTAGCATCAGATTGCATTCTCTCTGTAATAGGAAGCATTACTAGAGGCAGGAAATGTTGTTTGCCTTAATAGTTGAGCACTAAATTTGGCCATAAATTTCAATAATTATTATAGAAGAACCATCCATGGAACAGATTGAGCAACGACCTCAGTCGGACCCGTCCAGAGACAGCTTTAGTTTGTGATTTGAACCCAAGTGTGCCTGACTCCTAAGTCAACACTTCATGCTCTCTACATCTCTGCCTCTCACCTGACTTTGTGATTCCAATGAATGTGAAAATAGCATCCTACATGATATGGAAAACCAACTTTAGGTAATCCCTGGTGTGAATAACCAGCTGAGATTACAATTCGGAGTACCTTTAATGAATTTTAAATCCTGGCTCTGATATTTAGTACTTGGGCAATTCATTCTGTACCTCAGTTTCCTCGTCTGTGAAATGATGTAGTTGATCTAGCTGTGCTCAAAATCCAAGAGTCTTTCCCGTTTTCCTTCCCTCGAGTTTCTTGTTTGCTCAGACAGTATTAGCAATCTTGTGCAGACTGTCCTCTGCTCATCATTTGTCATGTTTCCAGGAATACCTGGAATACTTAAATTGTTTTTGAGAGCTTACTTGTCCATTCTGCCCGGGAGTGGTCCAGACAAGGCTTTACTGTTACCCCTGAGTGTCCCAAGTCAACACCTCCACATCTAAAAAGTGATGTTAAGCCATTCGGTGTCCCCTTTCATCCACCCTGCTGTATGTGGTATGACTCTGGAAGAGGGTGTCTAGCCTGTCTCCAGGTCATGTGAGTGGCTGGCTCAATTTGGTGAAAAGTGTCAGCCTTGGTAGAGAATTGTTTGAAGTGAGACAACTTGGTGAGGTGAGGAGAAGGCTGGACTGGGAGTCAGTGAGAAGAGTGTTCAACACTCACTTGGAAACAATCAGAACAATTATCTCGCAGGTTTATCCTGATAAATAAAACAGTGCCGTCAAATGCTTTGTAAACCTTACAGCTCTGCAGAATTGTGTGTTGTGTTTCTCCAATAATTGGGAGAGGGAGAGAGGGGGGAGGGAGAAGGGGGCATAGAAAAGAGAGGGGAAGACAGAGAGAGAATATAGGAGGGAAAGAGGCGTATGTGTGTGTGTGTGTGTGTGTGTGTGTGTGAGAGAGAGAGAGAGACAGAGAGACAGAGAGAGACAGAGACAGAGAGAAAGAGACAGAAAGAGAAAGAGGGAGAGACAGAGAGAGAGACAGAGAGGAGGGAAGAGGGGGAAGAGAGAGAGAGGAGGGAAGAAAGGAAGAGTAGGGAGAGACAGAGACAGAAAGAGACAGAGACAAACACAGAGAACCAGAGAGACAGAGACAATGAGACAGACAGACACACACACACACAGAAAAAGAGAGAGAGAGAGAGAGAGAGATTGAGAGATGGCATACATTATTGTATAGTAGAAAATATTAACTGGATTTGAGGTCAGAGGCCCTGGGTTCAAATCCACCCGTGTGACGTTGGGCCTCCCTGGCTCTTGCTTTGTTCCTCTCTAAAATGATATGATCGGACTGAATGATCTCTAAGAGTTCTTCCAGCTCTAAAACTTTTCTGCAGGTTCACAAAGAAGCCTATTTTGACTTTCATGCCTTTGCATTTAATTATTTTTTCAGAGTAACATTTAAATAAATGGTAAAGATTGGCAGAGAGAGACAAGAGACATTCTCTATACAGCCTGCTTTATTCAGACCCTATGCAGCTCCCTGGGAAGAAATGAAGGGGCTTTGATTTTTTTTTTTTAATCAATTACTATGGAGGCCCTAGCTTCCAAAATAGCCTCACTGGCCTTTTGTTTTCACTGTGTGGTGGGGAGGGTTGTAGAAAAATCCAATCAAAAAGCCCTGCCAAGTGTTAAAGCACGTTCAGAAACAAGACTTCTCACTTTTTGATTGGCATAGAATTAAAAATGTAAGCACTCTCTGTTTTCCTTTCCTATTTTTACAATTGAAAGGAGAATCCTATTAAAATGTCATTTCAGACGTGTTTTATATTTTTTCTTAGCATTCTATAAAAGATTAATAGACGCATAATACACATAGACAGCTATGTGTGCGAATGTGTATGCGTATTGATGTATGTTACTCCTTAATGCCCAGTGACCTCATCTCCATAAATCATGACACTGTCCATGTACAATTTGAGAAGGAATGACTTTATTCCTTGGTGTTTGTAATATTTACTTTGTGACCTCCCAGGCGTTAGGACTTTCCTCCTTCTCAAATTATTGATTTCTCTTTTTTATATCCTGTGTGTGACATTCTTGAGGGGAAAAGCTCTTCTGATTTTTGCTTTTTTGTTTCAGTGTCTAGTATGATGCCTTACATACAACAGGAGCTTAATAAATGTCTGTTGCCTGTGAATTTAAAGAGTATCATGTAAAAGGCTGTCTAGACTGAAACTCACACGCTAAGAAGACCCATGAATGGTTTGAAAGCATTTACTCCAAAGCAAGTTAAGTCAACAGGCATTTAAGAAGCACCTACTTTGTGCCAGGCACTGTGTTTAGCACTAGGGACATAAAGCAAGAGAAAAGACAGTCCGTGCCCTTGACGAGTTCACAGTGGCGTGCAAACGACCACTTCTAAGCAAGATACATACAGGATAAAGTGGAAATGGCCAGCTGAGGGGAAGCGTTAAGGGGAATCAGAAAAGGAGGCTTCCTGGAGAAGGTGGACTTGTAGCTGAGACTCCAGGGAAGCTGAGAGGCAGAGATGAGGAAGAAGAGCATTCCTGGCAGGAGTGATGGCAGGGGAAAATTGGAAGACAGAAGTGAAAGTTTTAGGAGGAAGCGGGAAATAGAAAGGGTCAGGCCCCCCTTTATGTTAAGTCCATATTTGGAAAATGGTTCATTCAATGTCTAAAAACCTAGCCCTAGCCACTAATTTCTGCAGCAGAGCAGAACAATGAACACATTCATTAATTAGGGTCCAGCGTTCACTCCTGTTTATTTTCAAGGCTAATCACTGATTTGTTTTTCAATGAGATGCTGAGCTTCCTTGGAAGCTGTGGGTATTAATTAGGCAGTGAAAATGTTTTTTTTTTTTTTTTCAATTTCACATCATAGCCCTAGGCTCAATCAGTACAGTAAAAACATTACTGTCAAAATAGAAACAAATTAACAAGTGATTAGCCTTGAAAATAGAAGTGTAAACAGAAGCGAGTGAGATTGCTAATTGTTCTTCCCAGCCATGGGCTTTAGCCAGCCCCAGGTCTCCACGCAGCCATTTTCTTTGTTTTGACTATTTATAACCTCAATAAATGTTTCCTGGGACACTTGGACGACAGTCCTCATCCCTTGCTTCTGCCCTTAGCTTCAGTGCTCCAGTGAAATGATTTCACCAGATCTCATCGGTTCCCTCGAAGAGAAAACGGAGTGGTCCTTGGTCTGTCCAGTTTCTGTCATCCCCTTCAGCAGCCCACTGTGCAGGCTGATTGCACATCCTGTCCTTTCAGAGCTCTCTGTTCCAGCCAAGCCGACCTGTTTCACGCTCCAGGAAGGCTTATCCCATCTGCCGCCTCTGCCTTTGCACGCTCCGGCCGGTGCCTCTCCCCTTTCCTCTGATGTGCTTGGTCTGCTCAGCACCGGCTTGAGCAGCCTCTCCTGCAAGAGACAGCTCTTGGTGACCCTTGTGACTAGTGGGTCTTCCCCACCCTCAGCACATCTCTTTGATTTTACTCTGCATGCATTTTCTATAAAATGATCTAGATTTCCTTCCCGAAGAAGATCGTTTCCTTGAGAGTAGAGGCTGTTCAGTTTTTGGATGTCCAAGCACCTTGTACTCCACTTGGCTCATAGTAGGGGCTTAATAAACCCTGGTTAAATTGAACTGATTGCACGATATTTTCTGGAATCAATTGGGCGTTCCACAAGTATGTTTGGCACGCTAAATACTAGGGCTCTAGAGACAAGTAAAATAATCCTTGCCCTCAAGGAGTTCACATTTTAGTGGGGGACAAAAACCAAACCAAAACAAAACCCCATGTACTTACGTGGGTTATATACAAAATGGCCCACAGCAGCTCTAAAGTTATTTGGGCAGGTGAGGCACTAACAGCTGGCGGGATGAGGCAAGGCGCTGCTGGAGACACTGATCATGATGAAGGCTGCCCAGATCAGACCCCGCTGCCCTTCCCTGAACGCCGGCGCTGGAGAAAAAGAGCGGGGAGAGTCTTCTACAATCTGTACTTTGAGAAATGAAGAAATGGTACCTTTCTGCAGCCACTGCAACGAAGTCCCTCAGTTTGCAGCTCTTCGTGCTGATGGGGCGTCTGGCTGTTCGTGAAATAGCTCTCATTCTCCTGAGTGGGAGCAATTGGAGATAATGGGAGGCGGATGAGTTGAAGTTGCAGCCCTTTGGAAAATGATGTGGCTTTGCCTACAGTGTCTTTAAGCAGACAGCAGGAAGGAATTTATTCCTGCTGGGGTAAATTTGAAAAATAAAGAAATATGAATTGTCTTGGATACTCCCAGGAGCAAATTCAGGGGAAAATCCTTTTGATCTTAGAATGATGATGATTGTAATTAAGAAGTAATAATTATTATTCTATCAATGGTTTAATATATTAATAATAATCTCACCCCTTGAGATTTGCCAAGTGCTCTGCATATGTTAATGTTATATATTCAAGATGACACATGTAATGTAGTAATAAGAATATTATTGCTATATAATTTGTAGTAAGGGGAACACAGGGGCAGAGTGGATGGAGAGACAGATGGCTTTGGAGTTGAGAGGACTGAGTTCATGTTTGGTCTCTGACATTTACCGGCTGTGTGACCCTGGGAAAGTCACTTAGCTTCTCACTTTACAAGCCTATGGCCAGCTGCAAGTCTGCAAGCTGTCAGGAAGCTTTTTTTTTTTTTTTTAAATCAACCGTGTCCAGCCACGGTGCTAAACACTGGGGATGCAAAGAAAGGAAAAAAATCCTTGTTTGCAAGGAATTCACACTGTAATGGGAACAAGCATGTACCTGCAGGATCTGGCCAGCAGAACCTTGAGGGAGGCTGCTGCAGTCCTGAGGGAGAGCGAGCGTCCTCTCCTGGAGTTCCTTAGACCAAGGAAATGACTAGGATGGCATTCTTCCCCTCCTCTTCCCCCCTCCTCTTCCCCCTCCTCCTCTTCCCCCTCCTCCTCTTCCCCCCCTTCCCCCCTCCTCCTCTTCCCCCCTCCTCTTCCCCCTCCTTCTCTTCCCCCCCACCTCTTCCGCCTCCTCCTCTTCTCCCCCTTCCCCCCTCCTCTTCCCCCTCCACCTCT